GATATTTTTATATACCGGTATATAGGACAATCAAGTAAGCAGTTTTTCCCCATCTTCAACAATAGTTTCACAATGGAAAAAATATATTTCCTCTAGGATTGACAGGATTGCAATATCTACCTGAATCATAAAACTTTTATTAACCTTTTAGATTTATGAAGTATGGAACATGCATGTCTTCTTCGTCCATAACAAGTTCGATATAAAATGTAATGCCTCACTTTCTACAGTTTCATTTCACTACCATTGATTTGGAACAGGTATATTGCATATTTTGTCATTGTCTAAATTTAAGACCAAACCAAGTACTAGTATATATTTACTAAATGGTGAGCATGCTTATCTTTTTTATTCCTTGTCCAAGTAGGAAGTCCACAAATCCTGCTAAAATTACATAAATTTCTTTCATCTAAAAGTTTATGCTGGTATTTTTGTTTTCTTTTTTCCGCTTGTAATTTTTTATGAAATGTTACAAAATAAAACAACAAATAATCCATATTATCAAAGTCTGGGATGAAAACTGAAAGGTAATTATGAAATCTCCTTACTAACTTCCCTTTGCATCAACATAAGTACATGTATTTTACACCAGTCGGTTTATTATGTCATTGAAGAAAAAAAAAATGATTAGAAAGAGAATGAGGAAATGATCATAAAAAAACATGTATAGCAGAGTGGTTTTTTTTTTTACATAATGAAAGGAATTATTTTTTGTGAAAACATATGTTTTTATAAATCAATAAAAAGTCTAAATATTTACGTATGTTATCAAATATAAATGAAGAGGACGTGTAACATCCTAACCTGGATCATATAATCGAGAGTAAACTTAATAAACTCCCCACTCCAAACCCCCAATCCCCCCCCCCGAAAAAAAGAGGGATAAGCCTGTGAAATATGATCATAAAAGCTCATACAATTATCATAAAAAATTGTGACCAAGGTTAAAATTTTTCGAATGTGGGTTAAACTCCAAGATCAAAGGGTTCAATTAAAGGAATCCAGGGGATTGCCTTGTCATCAGAAATAAGCCTGTTAGAGCCCTAACACCAACTGTACAAAAGTTATGATCAATGTTTAATTTTTCAAAACTAGGTCAAACTCCAAATTCAAAAGGTCAAATGTTGGCATTCAAAGGAAGGTCTTGTCTCATGGAATACATCTGTGAAATATAAGGATCCCAGTACTAACGCTTTAAAAGTTATGTCTAACGTTTTTTTTTTATAAATAGGGCGAACTCAAGTTATGGCCAAGGAAAATTTTTGCAAAGATTAGATCAAAGTCCAAGGTCAAATAAGTTAGTACCCGAAGAAAGGCTTTTGTCATAAGTAATACACATAGAAATATGAGACATAGCACTGATTATGTGATTTCTGTTAATCTTTCTAAGACCTCTTGTTTCATGTCGTGCCCTTAGAATTGACTTGGTGTACAGATGATATAGTAATCGGTATTAAAGGATTGACAAACGACAATTGTTTCAGGGACGTAGCATCAATTAATAAGCTCACCTGAGCCGAAGGCTCAAGTGAGCTTTTCTGATCACATTTTATCCGTCGTCTGTAAACTTTTCACATTTTCGACTTCTTCTCAAGAACAACTGGGCCAATTTTAACCAAACTTGGTACAAATCATCCTTGGGTAAAGGGAATTTAAATTGTAAAAATAAAGAGCCAAGTTTTCTCACAAGGGGAGATAATCAAGAAAAGACAAAAATAGGGTGGGGTCATTAAAAATTCTTCTTCTCAAGAACCACTAGGCCAGAAAAGCTGAAACTTATGTGGAAGTGTCCTGGGGTAGTGTAGATTCTACATTGTTCAAATCATGACCCCCGGGGGTTGGCGGGGCCACACTGGGGAATCAAAGTTTTACCTAGAAATATATAGGAAAAATCTTTAAAAATCTTCTTCTCAAGAACCACTGGGCCAGAAAAGCTGATACTTATGTGTAAACATCCTGGGGTAGTGAAGATTCTAAATTGTTCAAATCATGACCCTCGGGGGTTGGGCGGGGCCAAAATGGGGAATCAAAGTTTTACATAGTGATATATAGAAAATATATTTGAAAATCTTCTTCTCAAAAGCCACTGGGCCAGAAAATCTGATACTTATGTGGAAGCATCCTGGGGTAATGTAGATTCTAAATTGTTCAAATCATGACCCCCGGGGGTTGGGCGGGGCCACACTGGGGAATCAAAGTTTTACATAGAAATATATTGGAAAAATCTTTAATAGTCTTCTTTACAAGAACCACTGGGCCAGAAAAGCTTAAACTAATACGTGGAAGCATCCTGGGGTAGTGTAGATTCTAAATTATTCAAACCGTGACCCCCGGGGGTTGGGCGGGGCCACAATAAGGAATCAAAGTTTTACATAGAAATATATAGGAAAAAAATCTTTGAAAATCTTCTTCTCAAGAACCACTGAGCCAGAAAAGCTGAAACTTATGTGGAAGCATTCTGGGATAATGTAGATTTTAAATTGTCCAAATTATAACCCGTGAGTTAGGATGGGGTCACAACAGTTATTAGAAGGGGGGTCTGGTAAAGGGCAGTATGGTCAAAGCTTCTCATGTGAGCGATGTGGCCCATGGGCTTCTTGTTTCAAAGTGTGTTTGTGTGGGGGTGGGTGTTAGGTTCCTTTCTCATAGTGCCATTTTTTTCATGCACTACTACTTTACCCTTACTTAACTATACTGAAAGGGGAAGCCCACATCGTCTCTGGCTCCCTGATGCTACATGCCTTGGTTTTCTTATAAAATAAAGATATCTAGTGGATGTAAATATAATGGCATATTTATTGAAATATCATCATTTCAAAATTATATTTATATAAATCATATAAGCACCCTTTTACCATATATCACCTATGTTGAAAATGAAATACATAGACTAGTAGAATGATGGACTAGTAGACTGTAAGATAAAATTATGACTTAACGGACGCCACAAGTCTTCTCCAAAAAAGTTCCCTTACAGATTTATCAGTGGGCCATTCTAAAAAAGTTGTTGTTTTCAGTAGAACGTGTAAAGAGTTACACATATTTTGAATTTCAATGTTTTCCAACATCACGACAACCAGAGAGCTCCTCCCACCCTCCACGTCTAACGCCTGGGCCAGGGTCATCTCAAACTTGCACCAGTGACTCCGGACAAAGTTGTTGGTCAATAGCAAGACCACTTTCCGGCTTCCGTGAATGTTTTCAGTAATATTATCAATAATCAATTTGCCGACATCGAAATCTCGATCATGTAGGCAAAGCCTAAGATTTTCTTTCTTTTCCAAACACGGAATTAACTCGGAAATAACCCAGACACGGTCGTTAGTGTGATAAGCAACAAAAACGTCATACATGAAATCGTCCTCACCCTGTAACGGTTCGTATCCACGTTTCCTGGCACGCATCAAATATATGTAGTATTTAATGTGCCATCGATAATGATATACCACACTGCCAACGAGGACGATTAGGACTAGAGCCGCAGACACCCCAGCCGCCGCAATGACGTAAGGGTTCAACGGATGGCAATCTGAGTAGGACAACTTGAACTCAGACAGAGTTTTCCCTGCCCATTTTTGGGGTGATTTACACTGATATGCATACGGCCATAGATACAGAATTTTCGTATTGTTCCTAATCCATTCCCGAAACCACACTAAGTCACACGTACAAAGATATGGGTTCTTTCCCAGGGACAGACGTTCGATGTTTTTCAAAAATTCTTGGGGGAAAGAGGTCTTGTTAATTATAGCAATTTCGTTGCCCTCAAGATATAAAGTTTTAACCGAAGTAACATTTTGAAATACCCAACTCTCCCATTTGCTGAGCAAACACTTTTGCAAGTTAAGGGAATTCAGGAATGGCATTCTTGAAAACAAGTTTCCTGGGAGGGTCAGGGCGGATGTGCTTTGTAGAATAAGCTTGGTTAGATTGGTCAAGTGGTGCAGGAGTTCGTAAAGCATCACTCCATCGTAGGTGGTCAGTCGAATCTTTGTCATGTCCAGAACCTGCAATTCGCGGCAGTATCGAAATATGTTTTTGTAATCTGACATTGGTTGAATTGGAGCTTTGATATCCGGAAACATGTCCATGTGGTTTGCTATGTACAGAAGGCGCAATGAAGAGCTATTGAAACATGTAGTTTCAAAAACAATATTGTTTGAAAGTAAATACTTTAAAGAAAGACGCACCAAAGAAGGTAGATCTGAAAATGTGTTGTTTGGAATGACAGAGAGGGGATTGCTATCCAAAGTAAGATTTCGAAGTCTTGGAAGGCATAGGCCTCTAAATTTGTTTCTGTTAATTTCAGAAATACGGGTCTGGCCTAAATCGATGACCCTTAAGTTTGGAACTAGTGACGTTGAATAGTTACAAAAGGTCGGCACCGTTTGTAATTTATTATAGCGCATCCGAATAACTTGTAAGTGGTGTGCACCTTCAAAGTCTGTTTTATTTATGTGGTTGTTGTTGAGGCCGATATTTCTTAATCCTGGCAAGGTTGAAAACACCCGCCCATAAAACTTTGTTAGTTTATTTTGATTAAGTGAAATTCCCTCAAGAGTGGAAACATTCTGAAGATAATAAAACATGTCATCTGGCAAGTCTGGGAGATTCATCTGGATCAGATACAATTTCTTTAATTTACTGTGACGAAGTCCCTGGAAACTTTCTTTTAGGATCGACACAGAAATCTGATTCCCACTGAGGTCCAAGAAAGTTAAATGACTGAAAACTCCAAAGGCATCACTTGAAATGTTCTTAATTTGATTCCCTCCGAGTACCAGTTCCTTTAGCCGGAGATTCGTTATATTCCGGAACGTGTCTCGAGTGACAGACGGCAGGGAATTCCCCGTGAACTCCAACACTTCCGTATTCGCTGGAAGCGATGGAATGTACCATAAACGGTCTCCGTGTTTCGCACAGGACACTCTCCGATGGGTACACTTACAGAAGTGATGAGGACACCGTGTTTTTGAATAACTAAGTTGAATTAAGTATCCACACGTCAGAGAGAGCACCAGGAATGTACGCTTCAACATTTTGTTTGTAAACATGACCCCCAGACAAGGTTCACCTGTGGAGACAAACGTACAACTAAAAAGAAAATAAAGTCACGAGATTTATATTACGAAGCAGGAAGAGAAATCTTGATGTACTTAAAGCATTAAGTTTTGCTGAATAACGCATCGTTTCGATTATATTAAAACAAAACATTCGAAATTTACATGCAGATGGATGTAAAATAAGGATCGCTTCATATAAGCACTTCAACTTAAAGGGGCCTGGACAGATTTGAAGTTGAATAATTTCTAAAATTTTCAGTATAATACATGTATACCGATTTGTGCGTTGCTATAGCATTTTACGCAAAAGTATTATAGCGTGTTTTAAAAACTTTAAATTCTTTACATAGAAATTATTTAAACTAAAACTTTCGAGGCGCGTTTAATTTACACGCATCCTTGCGCTTTCATGATGTAAATTTTAGACATACATGTATGTTTTAAGTGGAAAATCTGTATATTGTGTATTTATTGAAAAAATTAAAATCACAATCCAGAAAACTCGTAGCAGAAAGTTGAGATGGCAACACCAACTCACCAGTATTGTCAGTCGGGACACACCTGGTACAATTAACAATTTCACGAAAATATTAAACAATACTGAACAGAGCTCTTGCCTAGCTGTTTGTTATGAATAATGTTTTTATCTTCAAAATAAAAACAAAATGTAAACAAATTAAAGGTAATGCGTCTGATCTATTTTATTTATTCCCACTTTGTGTATTTAAAGCCTTTTTGTAACATTTTTCTTTTATTATCTAGAATCCCGTAAAAATGAAACATATACTCAGTATTTAGAGATAAGAAGAGTATTCAAGATCAAAAGTCCTTAAAACAATACAAAATAGAAGCAGAGCAAACACGGACCTCCAAATCATCAGAGGTGGGATCAGGTGCCTTAAAGATCCCCTGCTGACCGGTCACACCCACCGTGTGCTCCTTATCATGATCGTGAAATAACGGAAAATTCGTCGTCAACTCAGTGTATAAATAATGGATTAACAAAGCGTGAAAAACGTCAGTCAGCATTTGACTCAATGATAAATTGTATTTGCTGAGAAGGTCATTGTATCGACCATAGAACTTACGAAATTATGACTTTAAAATATATTCTTGTTTCAACTTGTTTGTCAATAATTTATCTCGTTTGAGAAATTTTTCAAAGGTAGAAAATGCTTTTGCTTATCGAATCAACTGATATACATAAACTCGGTATGCAGGTAATGAAGGTATATTGCTGCAAAAGTAGGGGAAGTTGACGATTAACAAGTTAAAGTCATCACGTTTGTCATAGAGCTTGATTGTTAGATTACCATTAACGTCTAGTAACGTCAAGTAAGTTATCCAAGTATGAAACAGATGTGTCACCTAACAGATGTATCTTTTATCTCAAGCTCACCAGGATCTATGGTATCGACATACGAATGGAAATTACCATAGTTAATTGAAAATGGGTCGTCGATATATCAAAATGTTGAGCTGAGGCCATAGCTACTGTTTTTTTCTTTCCATGCCTAAGATTTTGGACAAATTCTGCTTCATATGAATACGAAAATATGTCCGCTAATGGGACGCAATTGGTACCCATCGGAATTCCAATAGATTGTTGGAAGACCTGGTCTCCAAAAACAAAATAGATACTATATTGTCAATCAGAAACTTTAAGCATATTTCATGTCAACTTCAGAGTACTTGTGTGTGCAATCAGAATGTTTTTAACAATTTATGAATTTGCAAATGACCAATGACAAAGTGAGTAAAGACTTTAAGTAAAAACAAATTTACTATCAGAACATTTTTTGTTATATTTGCAGGTGGGAATCGGTAGAAATGAGATTTTTTCTTCGCTAAAATGAATGTATCTTGGCATTTGGCCAAAGAAAATTACCAATGCTTCGTCAGCATGGTTATAAATGCACTTGGGAGTTTATTAGACAGCTCCTGGTATGGTTTTAAAATACATTTTATCTAAATCAATGAGGTTGATTGACAGCTTCAGGTTTCTCTCGCTTCCACAAATACTGAAAAGTACCCCCCCCCCCCTCAAAAAAAAAAATAAATAAAATTTAAAAAAAATTAAATATCAAAATCTTAGTCAATAGAGTACACGGGAATCTTTCTTTTACAATTTCTTTTTGTCATTTTGTATAGTTTTCTGAGGACAAAAAACCGGAATGCGGTCGGGTCCAGGTTCTGAGGTTTAGAATTCCTTCAAGGTTGAGAAAAATGGCTGCGTCCAGTTACACATGTTTGCTCTCTACTCGAAGGTCGTGTTTAGCTTCTCTGAGGTCATATTCCAGATACAGTACAGTATTTCAGAAATACAAAATAAAACAACAAGGTTTGCAATTTTTTTGTTTAGTAACTTGTGTTAGTTATTGTAAATTAGTGAATTATTATAATGAATTTTAGAAACTGAATTTGCTCGGTTGATGTAATTTCAAAGTGAATTTCAGGATAGTATCCGATTTTGGAAGAAAGCCTGGCAAGTGGCAAAGCACAGGTGCCTGGGATTTAATCTGCAATATATTTGGATATGTGTCATAAATAGTTTCCTATAAATGTCTCGCTTCGCTTTTATTTTAAACAGTTCTTTCATTTAAATCATTTTGCACCTACCACTGTTAATAATTAGGCCATTTTGTGATTTAAGGGGCTGAGGAAACACACATGGGTTATTTTAAAATATAACATCTGATCATAGTATGATGCAACATTATCATTGATTATGCACAAGTCTCCGATAGTTACACAGTTTTAGGAAAATATAAATCAACAAGTCATTTATATGTTGTTAGTATATAGGTCCCTGATATGACATTGGTGGAAAGAATCTATTTCTATGAACTTCAGTCAGTTAGTGGTAGTGTTTTGATAAAAAATGTATTAAGATAAAAAATATTTTTACAATCATGATTTTGAGTTCAAGGACCAAGCTAAGATAATTGGACTTTGTTGATATGGCTTTTCATTGCAGGGCTTTCGATTCTCTAAATCTGGGGCCGATATTCGGCCCCGTTCCCAATGCAAAAAAGATACTCTTCTTTCCCAAAAGAAAGGTGTAAATTTCCGAATTTCCATAGCAAAATATTAATTAAAAATTAAAAGTCCATGAAACTTAATCGCCAAAAAAAAAACCCCAAACAAAACACACTTGCAAATGAAAGTGAAACTGTACTACTATTTTATTAGTTCACGCCAAATGCATTCGTAAACTGGATCGGGAACCAGGTTATTGTTTTTACAAAAATGTGTACCAACTATGAGTGCAGAGTATCTTGTCATGTAGTTTCGACAAAAAACATCATTTTGGTTTCAAAAATAGACATTTCATTTAAACATTAGTAAGCTGCACCTAGAAACACCCACGTTTCAGCATGTTCAGTCTCGCGCTGTATTGGTAAGCAAAGTTGTCCATGTGATCAAGGAAATTCGGGATTATGTGACTAGCGACTGTCACTCAGAAAGACATATAACCGCAATATCAAGACTCAAAGATAGTAATGACAAAGCTAATGTACTTTTCATAAATAGCCTATGTACCATGTTTGTTCTGTTCAACTGTTTATTCAAAACCAGAGTTAAATTGATGACAAAATGCTAGAAAAGCAAAATTTGAGGAATTTTTAAAATCCAACTTTTCCCAAAATGACGATAATTTTCCCATTTTGAACGGCCCTGGCCCCAGTCCCATAAAGTGGTGTGAGAGCCCTGCATTGCAAGATATATTTTCCATGTGTTTGAATTTTGCAAAGCTTTGTTCAACCGTCAAAACAAGACTTGACACTAGCAAACCACATTGAAATAAAAAGTTTGTTTCTTTTAATCTTTGCCTGTGAATCTCAATATGCCAAATGAATGTATTTGATTTTTTTTTTGTATGATACACATAGACATGATAGATTTCATCTAACTTCTTAGTTCTATGATTATGAAGAATACTGAAATTCACCAACTGCAATGAGCTTAAAAGGAATAAAATATGTGTGCCCGCATGTTGTGGGGTGAGCCGCATGGTGCAGCACACCATTATTTCAAAAAGTACCGGGTAATACCTGAAATCCCACATATTGGCCCAGTGTTACTTTTAAGCGAATTAGTGAAAAAATACACTTTTATCTATTTTTAGGATTTGTTCCTGTTTACCAGGCCCAGAAACTGGTTCCCTGGACTAGATCTTTCAGCACCAGTCCATACTACTTCAGTACAGACAATGAGCAGACTGTCACTGCTGAGCCAGCGGAAGAGGAGTACCACAGCCTCATAAAGGACACAGAAAGAGCAAAAGGTCAGTTAAAGGGCAAAAGGTAGTAAAATGGCATGTTCCAAAAATCAAAGGTCAATAGAAAAGACACCAAGGTCAGGAGAGCAGGCAAAAAGATCTGTACAGGCAAAAAAAAAGTCAATAGAACCGGCAAAGGTCAGTATAATAAGCATATGATCAGTAGAACAGGAAAGACAAAACTCACAAAGGTCACTGAAATAGGTTAAAGGGGTGCGTATCATTACCGCTACATTTTCAAAATTTTCATTACCGCTACAAAAAACCTTACATTACCGCTACATAAAAAAGTATACATTACCGCTACATTGCCTCTTTCGTTAGCCAGCCACTTACGAGTGTACAGTACAACCTATAAATGCATACGACCCATTTTCCCTGCTCACCACGGGGAAGTGAAAGTAGGACTTGGAACAGGATGTTTTTTTTTAAAATCAATTTTATTTCATAAAAAATAAAAAAAATTAAAATCAAGCACTGTTCATAGATAAAATTCTAATTTTTGTCAAATGTTTTTTTACACTATCGGTAAAGCCTTGAAAGCCATTTGCTTTACATATTGTTGCCTTGTCATTTCCCCACTGTGGTATTTAGCTTTCAGTTCCCTTCTTTGTGCTGTCAGTGTGTTGTTCTCCTTTCGTCCTGGGAGAATCCTGTTTCTTGCAGCACGCATTTTCAAGTAACTTTTTGTCTGGACAGCATGAATCTTGGCCAAATGAAATCAGAAATGCTCGGATGTGAACTATAAAACATTGTGCCGAATTCTTTATGAAAACTTTCAAACTCAACATCAGCATATGCCCAAATGGTACAAAAACATCAAACACAACGCACTCTTCAACTTCTCTAGGATCCAAAAAACCCAAACCAAAGAAAACTTTCAACCACTGTCCAAATTCTATTGACTAGAACTCATATGCCGAACCATACCTGGCTAAATCGATATATGTAGCGGTAATGAGTTGTTTTTTGTCGGAAAAATGTAGCGGTAATGATCGGTCGAAAATCTGGAAAAATGTAGCGGTAATGAGTTGAAATTTTGAACAATGTAGCGGTAATGTTGACCTCCCGGTTAAAGATAATATTTATAGGAATAAGTCAGTGGAATAGGCTCAAAAACAGCAGAACAAACAACATGATCTCCTTTAGGTAGGGAGGAGTCAATATGATCACTGTGATCAAAGTATAACTTAATTATCCAAATAATTAGGGCCCCGCAAGGATTTGCGGGGCCCTATAGTAATCACTCTGTCTGTCCGTCTGTCATTCTTCCGTCCACAAATTTTCTGTTTTTTCCTAATAACTTTTTTTATGGTTGACCAATTAAGTTCAAATTTGGTATGGTAGTTCAGTAGGCAGAAAGACATATTTTGATGCTAAGTTTGTTTCTCTATGTCCTCTGGTTTGGAGCTGGGGTGGTAGGGTAGATTCCTTAACTTTATATAAGAATGAATTGGCAAAGAGAGATAACTGCTGAAGATGTTCCCATTGTAAACTGAATTCTGCAATGAGTCCATTGGGATTAATTAGCTTTCCTCCTGAAAAAAATCCAAAGCATTATCTTTATCTGTCACATTGAGATGAATTACCACCTCTGTTTGCAAATGAAAGAACTTTATTCGGTAATAACCAATATTTGCCCCCCAAATCAAACTTTGATGGAGATATATTTAATTAAGTTCTTAAACAGGGGAGCATATGCTGACTTCAAAGCACTGAATATTTTCATAAGTAATGACTCCATATGTACGTAATGACGTCACAAACATGACGTAAGTTTCAGTTTTTTATGAATTTTACAGAAAAATGTACATATTTCGTCGATATTTTGAGTAAAAGTCACCGAGCGCATGTGTGTTCAGGATCAATATTTTGATATAATGTGTAGAATGATAATATCAATGAAATATGTCAATATTGTTCCTGAACAAACCTGCGCTCTATAAATTTTAAAGCTAAAATTGTTAAAATTTTGTCCAATTTTTCCTCTTTCTGAAAAATGATATGAAATCGGACTAGTTTGTGACGTCATAAAAACAAAAATTGTAAATACACTGCTTTGACACTGTAATAGTTTCTGTTAATTTATATTTCTCATACAATTTATTGAATTCAGCACATTTCAGGAAGTTTTCAAAATTTGACTTTTGTGGGGGCAAATATATGCAATAAACCGCATATTATAGTTCTTTGTAGTCAATTTGGAATGCTATGAAAACTCTGAAACATGGAGTTAAGTATAAATGTTTATACTTTATTTTTGTTAAAATATCCTACACAATGAGTTCTGATTTCATTGAATTCTAAAAATATTTGCTTTTGTAAATTCAAGAATATTATTATCAATTTTTAAGGTACCTTGATAAAAATCTCATTCTATCATTAATGAAAAAGTTCTTCTTGTAAATTTAAATGAAAATGATGAGAGAGAAGTACAATTAATCCCTTGGGATTAACTATCTAGCCAGATTAGCCTGCTGCAGAAAATCTGGAAGGCTTATCTTTAGCTGTCACTTTAAGATTAATGAAAACCTTTTTCTGCATTTGCTGTTTGTTTTGAAGTTAAGGTCAAGCCTTCATGATATTTGCATTCATTGAAGGAACATATAGAGTTGTTCTGAATTGTTTTGAATCATTCCGCAAGCTGCACCCTTATAATTCTATCCCATGGCGGGGCCCTTGCTGACTGGTCAGTTTTCTAGTTATATACAAAAAATCTCCCAAATTTTTAATAATATCCTTAAGAACAGCAAAGCCAGAATGGAAGCATGCTCTGACTGTATGATTATAGATTCTTCTCAAATACGGGAAAGCTATAATTGTTGTATTAATTTAGAGTCATTCTCAGGTAGTACATGTATACATCTATACAAGTTTGTTAAAATCCTGTTTCCCAGGGACAGGATGAAAACACAATAGATCAAAAGTATTGGACAAATCTCAAAAAATTGTGATTAGTCATAAGAACATGAAAACATAGTATTTAAAGTGTAGATTCAATTTTGTTCAAAACATACCCCTCCCTATAAACATTTCTATCATTAACTGATCTGTCATATCTGTCATATGGTCTTAATCCACTGGGGTGCAGTGGGACCACACTATGTGATCCAAGGTTTACATATGAATATGATTATAGGGAAGAAAATATATTGTTTGTCCAGTTTTGTGCATCAAAATAAGCATTCTGCTTCTGTTCATTTTATAAAAAAAGATGCATAAGACTGTACATCATCATTAACTTATAGTACATTTAACTCAAATTCCTGCCTAATTGACTTTTTGTTTGGTTAACCAGGTCCATTGGATCATCATGAATTTCAAGCAGAGACCAGAAAATTACTGGACATTGTTGCTAGATCACTGTATTCAGAAAAGGAGGTATAGTTTGAAAATGTTGAACCAAAAGATGTAAAATCTCTTCCAATTCATTGTGCAGATATATTTGC